ACGGGAGCTCACCCCGTCGCGGGGATTCGAACCGCTGACCTTCTGTTTGGCAAGTCCTAGGCTCTGTGGTTTAACCCACAGCACCACCCGCATCCCATTTGGGGCACATTGAAACACAAAATCAAGATAAGCATCATGGAGGGGGGGGGTTACTTATGATATTATGGCCAGCAGTAGCTGCAACCTGGCCCCACAGAAGGGTTGTACTGTGCCCAAATTCATGCCACATCACAGATACGAATGAGATAAAAGAAAAGAAAAATCAAGATTGCAATGTGTTGGAAAATCTGAAAAGACTCTTCAGACTCCCATCTTGGTGCCATAAACCTAAGTGGCTTGGAACACCCCTTGTCTGTACTGCACTGTATTTTTGCAGGAGGGATGGGAATGTCGAGCATGGGCGTAGCCAGGATTGCTTGGGATCTGCCAAAGTTGTTGAGCTACGCCCATGATGTCGAGGTATAGTATGATAAGAGGAATGTCCCTTTTTTATAAAAAAAAAATTCAATATATACAGAGCTTTAGTGTCAATCTTCTCTTTAGTGTCAGTTTCCTCCAAATTCATTTCCTCCAAATATTACCCTCCTTCAGCCATTCAGATCCTTGCATCTTTTCCAGCTGATTAAATGATTCTGAATACCCAATCAGTTTCCCTTTAGGCTCAAGAACTAGCTTGCTAATTATCTACAGAACAGTTTATTTTTTCCCCCCTTCCCATGTTGGAAGAACCAGAATGTTAAACAGTTGTTACCTCCAAGCCAGCTGGCTTCCCCACAGCTGCACAGTTGATGATCTTTACATCAACCTCAGCTGCAGCAAAGGTAGGGAAAGCCATACAAGAACGTTTAAAAACCACACATACATTTCCTGATGTGTCATGTTGTAGCTTCTGAAGAAAAAATTAATGGTATAGCAATCATATGATAATGTAGTAGACTGACATTGACAAGGTCTGAACACGAATAGGTTTTCATGTTTTGTGTCTCCTGCATTCCCCGGTGGGAGAAAGTCTGCATAAAAATCAAAGCTCTGCTTCTTTTGTTGGCGACATTTCAAGAGCCAAACTATTTCCCGACCCCACCCACCCAAATCTACATAGGGAAAGTGCTTTAATCAAAGGCTATTGAAAGAACGTATCTGAACTTCAGGAGTTCCCCAAAGAGCCATACATTAACTCTTAGGTAAACAAAATACAAGGGGAAATGTAATCTCTTCACTGTCTGTCTCTACAAGCAATAATAAGGCAGTAGGCAGGATGCGGGTGGCGGGTGGTGCTGTGGGTTAAACCACAGAACCTAGGACTTGCCGATCAGAAGGTCGGCGGTTCGAATCCCCGCAACGGGGTAAGCTCCCGTTGCTCAGTCCCTGCTCCTGCCAACCTAGCAGTTCGAAGGCACGTCAAAGTGCAAGTAGATAAATAGGTACCGCTCCAGCGGGAAGGTAAACGGCGTTTCTGTGCGCTGCTCTGGTTTGCCAGAAGCGGCTTAGTCATGCTGGCCACATGACCCGGAAGCTGTACGCCGGCTCCCTCGGCCAATAAAGCGAGATGAGCCCCGCAACCCCAGAGTCTGCCACGACTGGACCTAATGGTCAGGGGTCCCTTTACCTTTACCTTTAGGTGGGGCATGGCCAAAAAACGGTTGGGAACCACTGTTCTAGACTGATAGTCTACTTTTAAAAGAGGGGCACAAACCTTGGATCAATTCTATAACTACTTGGTTTTTGACGGAAATTACGCGGCTGGTTTTCAGTTGAGAGATTTGCAGTGCGGTGCTGTTCACGGCATTCCGGAAACTGGAAAACAACTCACCATCACCAGCTATCCCAACAGCAGGAGTGCCAACTTAAATAAAATATTGGGGGGGGGAGGGAAGGTACACCCCACCCTACATAATGGATCACAGGACTCGGCCCACGCAAACCATTTGAATGGCAATGACCATCAACTTTATGGGGGGCTCAGCCCCCTCCTCCAATATTTTATTGGGAGGCTGAAGGGACCCTGGCCCCTAGGAGTTGGCTCCTATGCTCAACAGTCCATCAAACTGAGAAACTGAACAACAATGCGGTGTCTTCTAACTCCCTTTCCAAGGTGGCTAGAGACCCACTTTTTAAATTACGGCTCAGATTCTGGACCCCCTTGAAGGCAGGGCCCCCAGTGCAATTGTTCTTATTGCACAATTGATAATCCGGCTTTGAGTGATTGAGCTGGCATGTATGTTTAACAACAGGCTGAAGAACAGCGAATGTAGACATCCATCCGCTCAATTGCTAGTGTTGTCATATAAAGCAGTCTGAGCAAATTTTACAAGATGTCAGAATGGATTTCTTCCTTCCTGATCTCCCAGCGCAGCTTGTATTCAAAAACATAGCCTGGTCTCCCAATGAACCAGATACTTCAGTTACAGAAATAAGGTACCCTGGCTTTCCCCAAACTACAGAATGTACCTTAAATGCTTATTGGAATCCTGTGTCAAAATGTAGATGAAAAGTGCTTGGTCAAGCCATACAGATTGCTCCAGAGAAGAAGCTGGGAAGGGAAGCAGGACTGTTCCATCAGCTCTGCTGAGAGGTCATCTTCCTTTAGCGTTCCCTCAATTGTCACCCACAGCCAACCATTCTGCCAGGCTACCTGAATGGTTTTCATCTCAGCTGATCATTACAGGCATCTGATTTGCTTCACGCCCCTTTTTCGTTTTGTGCCTTCGGATTGTACATTCGCAGGCAGAGATCATCTTGTTTTTAATTGTTCTTTAAGCCAATCTGACACCCTTTTCAGTTATATTGTAGGGTAAATATCATTTAAACAAATAATTTATATAAAAAAAACAGTAAATGATGAGGGGTGCTGTTGGCTCTTTACACCCAAAATGAGCTGGGATCCTGCTTGCTGAAGCAGGAAGGGAGGAAGTTGGGAGAATAAAGTACAGTGGGCGCTCAGGTTGCGAACAGGATCCGTGCGGGATGCACGTTTGCAACCCGCAGCGTTCGCAACCCGCAGCGGTGCATCTGCGCATGCATGGGTGCAATTCAGTACTTCTGCGCATGTGCAAAGTGCAATTTAGGGCTTCTGCGCATGCACGACCACCGAAACCCGGAAGTAATCCGTTCTGGTACTTCCGGGTTTCGGCGGGTGCGTAACCCAAAAAAACGCAACCTGAAGTGGCTGTAACCCGAGGTATGACTGTAGTGGGGTAGACCATCGTTCCCACATAATGTCTCATTGCCCTGGGCGCTCACTGTTTTTACTGGGTTAAGATGTGGCAACTCAAGCTATGAACACAGAACCATAGAACTGTAGAGTTGGAAGGGAACCCAGGGGTCATCTAGTCCAACCCCCTGCGATACAGGAATCTCAGCTAAAGCATCCATGAGAGATGGTGATGACAGATCCATCCAACTGCTGCTTAAAAGCCTCCAAGGTAGGAGAGGCCAGCACCTTCCAAGGAAGTTCGTGTGCTGGGCCCGGGCGTAACCCGTGAAACACAGTCCAGGTCTGGTCCAGAATCTGAAGGTTCCGCTGGGAGTCAGTCCAACAGGGCCAAGGCAGGACACAAGGCAGGAAACCAGGCAAGGACAGGTACAGGATCTCAGGCAGGATCTGGCATACAGCAATGTTGCTCCTGCAACCCTGGGGCGGGGTCCGTCAGCCTTTTATAATTGTCGGGGTAGTGGCCAGTCCTGATCCCCCAGTGACTCACCTCCCTGTTTCGCCCAAAGGCGAGCACTCCTCCTGCGAGTACTCAGGTCTCTCCTTCTGTCAGACCTTAGTCTCTGCAGCTCGGGAGACGTCGGTGGGTTACTAGACCCAGGGGCCGCCTCAGCCTCCCCTGACCCAACTGGTAGTGGAGCAGCTGTAAGTGATGGCTCAGCTGAAGGCAACGAGGGAATCCCCGCATCTGGAACCAGGGCAGGCTCGGGCCCCTGACTCGGCCCAGCTGGTGTTTGTTGCAGGGGAACCTATGCAACTGGGACTCTTCAGGATCAGGCCCCAGACTTGATTCAGATGATGACTGAGGCAAAGGATCCAGTGCAGACTGAGACTCCTATGGCTCCGAGTCCGAGCCCAAGTCCCAGGCCATCACAGTCCATTCCACTGCCAGACAGCTTTTACCATCAGAAAGTTCTTCCTGATGTTTAGTCGGAATATCCTTTCTTGTAACTTGAAACCAGTGGTTCGAGTCCTACCCTCCAGAGCAGGAGAAAACAAGCTTGCTCCATCCTCCATGTGACAGCCCTTTAGATATCTGAAGATGGCCATCATCTCTCCTCTCAGTCTCTTTTCCAAGCTAAACATACCCAGCTCCTTCAACTGTTCCTCATCAGGCTTGGTTTCCAGACCCTTGATCATCTTGCTCTGCACACCTTCCAGCTTGTCAACTTCCTTCTTAAATTGTGGTGCCCAGAATTGGACACAGTATTCCAGGACACATTATTTCTTCTACCAACCCTCTCTTTTTTTCTTCTTCACTTAGACAAACTTAGAATGAACCTACAGCTAATTAGAATGGATAATATTTGAAGCTATTTTTGGATTCGGTTGGCTTTGTCTCTCTTACATGCCTTAAATAAACTAAACACACACATAATGGGCAGCACGATCCCGAAATGCCATAGTAATGCAAGCACTATCAAAATTAATGAGCCATCCGATGGTATAGCAGACAGAGAATGAGATGGACTGGCAATCCAGAAACCGTTTGTTTTCTCCATTAACGAAGCTGTTTTCTCCTAATGCCCTAGGGGTGAGCATGCATCCAGTCTGTGGCTTTAAGTGCTGCAGAAAGGGAAGCATTTTGGCTGGTGAACGATCTCCTATTAAAGTATTGCTGGGGAAGAAACTGCATTTGCTAAATGTTTTTTCCCTAGACAACTGCAAAAGTATTGGAGCCCAGCTGCATTCTGGATGTGGAAACCCTTCCTTAGAATCACAGAATTGTAGAATTGGAAAGGATCATGAGCTGATCCTCTAGCCGCCCCCCTGCAATGCAGGAGTCTTTTGCCCAATGTGGGACTCAAACCCATGACCTTGAGATTAAGAGTCTCGTGATTTAACAACAGAGCTATCAAGGCCAATCATTTGCCTGTGGCTTAAAACATTGGTATAATTCCTTGTTGAATACATTCCTATATTCTGCTCCTTTGCAACTAGTTGCAATGGTGTTGAATGACTAGACATCACTGAGAATATTGACCAGGCTTCCTGCATGGATGCTGTAATAATAATAATAATAATAATAATAATAATTAATTACTACTACTATTTATTTATTTATTTATTATTTCCCGCCCATCTGGCTGGGTTTCCCCAGCCACTCTGGGCGGCTTCCAACAGAACACTAAAATACAACAACCTATTAAACATTAAAAGCTTCCCTAAACAGGGCTGCCTTCAGATGTCTTCTAAAAGTCTGGTAGTTGTTTTTCTCTTTGACATCTGGTGGGAGGGCGTTCCACAGGGCAGGTGCCACTACTGAGAAGGCCCTCTGCTGTGTATCTTTTTAAGGTGTCAGGATCTGCACCCTTACTCCCAAGGAACAATGAGAGAAAGCAATACCCGTTGTGCCTGGGTACCTTCAGTATTACCAGAGGGCAGGAATGAAGGGGTACATAATAGGGAGAGGGGACTGAAGGAGTTACCAGCAAGGATGCAAATTGTATCTGAAAACTTGGGAGCCAGGGAGCATCAGGCAGGTTACTCCTGACATAAACTTACTGGTATATTTATTTGAGTCATTTCTATAACAACCATTCGTACAAATGCATCCACAGGTAGTTCGTCATAAGAATTAACACAAATAAATAAACATCCTGCAACACACACACTCAAAACCAAAGAACTTTCCATTAGCTAGACTAGGGACTGGGAGCGGCCGCCGAGACCACATAACACCGGTCTTGAAAGACCTACATTGGCTCCCAGGACGTTTCCAAGCACAGTTCAAAGTGTTGGTGTTGACCTTTAAAGCCCTAAATGGCCTTGGCCCAGTAGACCTGAAGGAGCATCTCCACCCCCATCATTCTGCCCAGACACTGAGGTCCAGTTCCGAGAGCCTTCTGGCAGTCCCCTCACTGCAAGAAGTGAAGCCACAGGGAACCAGGCAGAGGGCCTTCCTGGTGGCGGCACCCGCCCTGTGGAACGCCCTCCCATCAGATGTTAAAGAAATACTATCTTACTTTTAGAAGACATCTGAAGGCAGCCCTGTTTAGGGAAGTTTTTAATGACTGATGTTTTAATGTACTTTCAGTCTTTTTCTGGAAGCTGCCCAGAGTGGCTGATGGGCGGGGTATAAATAAAATAATAATAATAATAATTAGTAGTAGTAGTATTACGTCCTCTTGTCTTTGTCCATGGAGTTTTTTTGGCAGGGATACTGGAGTGGCTTGCCAGTTCCTGCTCCAGGTGGATCACATTTGGTCAAACTCTCCACTATGACTTGTCCCTCTTGGGTGGTCCTGCACGGCATAGGTCATAGCTTCTCTGAGTTATTCAAGCCCCTTCGCCATGGCAAGTCAGTGATCCACGAAGTCCTTGAGAGTCCCATGGACTGCAAGAAGATCAAACCTCTCCATTCTGGAGGAAATCAGCCCTGAGTGCTCACTGGAAGGACAGATCCTGAAGCTGAGGCTCCAATACTTTGGCCACCTCATGAGAAGAGAAGACTCCCTGGAAAAGACCCTGATGTTGGGAAAGATGGAGGGCACAAGGAGAAGGAGACGACAGAGGACAAGATGGTTGGATAGTGTTCTTGAAGCTACCAGCATGAGTCTGACCAAACTGCGGGAGGCAGTGGAAGACAGGAGTGCCTGGCGTGCTCTGGTCCATGGGGTCACGAAGAGTCAGACACAACTAAACGACTAAACAACAACAACAAGTATTACGTCCTTCAGCTTGTTCCAAAGTGATGTACAGCTAAGTAAATGCTACACCACCTGCCTGGTATGACTGGAATCTTGAATCCATTGGCTTTAGATTGCTTACATTCGCCTCTACCTGAGATGAACCCCATGAGGCCTATTACTTGATATGACTGGTGATGACATTTAATTTTTTAAAGACTATATCCTGCTAATACTAACTAGCATCCCAATTCTAGGTAAGAAACAGCTGACAAGAAATACAGGCACAGTAATAGCCAGCCCTTGCCACATATGACATTAGCTACGGAACTTTTTCTTTTCTTTTCCAAAAAAGTAAATAAAAACGTTATAGGCCTCTGGAGACAAATAAGGAAAGCTGTTCAGAGTGGAAAGTCTGGTTGAGAGACCTACAGGGAAGTATTTGACTTTTCATTGCCTCGAGAACATCTATGCTCTGGAGAAAACCTAGTAAAACAAACACAAACCTGGCTCAAATAATTCATTTGCTTCAGTAATTGCAAATATGTGACTGACAGAAATTCATTCTGACCTGATTCTGATGACACTTTTATGCTAGGCTAGTTTAAACGTAATTAGTAGCTCTCTACCTAAGTTAATTATCCCAATTATTTGCTGAATTAAATGCTAAGTACAGAAGAGACTTGAGAAGCTTCTGCTGTTGGGAAAATGGATCAGCGTTTGTGATTCTCTTGCTTTTAAGAGTAAACAGCAGCCTCACATCTCTATGCCCTGCAAACCTCCCCTAGCCCTTAGAGAACGGTCCAGCCAGGGATCTTTAATTAGAAGGTCTCAGGTAGCAGAATTAGAAAACCTCTGGCTCCAACCCACAGAGCCAATTAGGAGTCAAAGTACGTAAATGTTACACAGTTCTATAATTGGAACTGCTCCCCATGTTTGTTTTCTTTCTTAAAAAGTAGCCCTAGGAGAAAGCGGGGTACAGGGAAACAGATCCCATTTATGGCACCATCTATGGGGAAATTATGCCCTTGGTCCCCCTTTTTATAAACACCAGTTTGTATATTTGTGCTTCTTTAATTTTGGCATCCTGCAGAACTCCCCACCACTATAACTCAGCATTTCGCAATGTTACCCATTTCTGCTGCCTCCCGTTCCCTCAGAATGCTTTAAAACCTCCTGATAGCCAGGTATGATTGTCACCAGCACTGCAGAACAGAACACACCATTAACTAAGGGCTTATCCACATTTGATCAATATTTAGCTGTTAATCCACTTTCCAACATTCAAATTAGTTTGTACTAGTCCACACTCATAAACATGTACATTTGTATATGAGGAGCTACTTCAATCTTTCCCATTCATACCAACAGACGTTCCCTTTCGTGTGTATCCCTGCTTTCTAATCTGCTGATTCTGTTATGACATGGGTTGGCAAACTAAGGTCCGCGGGTCGGATCAGGCCCAATTGCCTTCTACAGGACCACCTCTCCTGGTATACCCCACGGAGGACCTTAAGGTCTACAAATGACAACATTTTGGAGGTCCCAAGTGGCAAGGTGGTTAGATTGGTCTCAACTAGGGCCAGGGCCTTTTCAGTACTGGCCCCGACTCAGTGGAACACTCTGTCACAAGAGACCAGGGCCCTGCGGGACTTGACACCTTTCCGCAGGGCCTGCGAGATGGAGCTGTTCCGCCTGGCCTTTGGTTTGGACTCAGTCTGACCGTTATGTTGCCCTCTCCTTATGGTCTTGATCTATGGGCTACTTTTAAAATGAGACTGCATTTTGAATTGCATTTTAACCTGTGTTTTAAATTGGTCCCCCCGCATTATGTTTTTACTGTAATTTTACTGGTGTTAGCCGCCCTGAGCCTGGCTCTGGCAGGGGAGGGCGGGGTATAAATAAAATGTATTTATTTATTTATTTAAATCCAGTCTGCGCACGGTCTGAAAATTGCCACGTGGATCGCCAGCACGTACATTCTTTCCCTCTCCCTCCCTCTCCCTCATACAGTGGCAGCAGCAGTGCCTCCTCCCTCCCTCCTCATGGTTTCTCCCCGCCCTGCCTAGAGGAGGAAGGGGGCTGGGCTTTGTTGGTGACAGCCCCTCTCCAGAGCCCTTTTGCACGCTGCTCATCATCCATCCCACCCCCGCCGCGAGGCCCTGCCGTTCGCAAGACATAGGAGCCGCAGTTGGCTGAGTGCCCCTCTCGAGTGGCCGCCATTTAAAGCAGCCCTTTTGCAAGTCGCTCATCGTCCCTCATTCATTTTTTTTCAAAATATAGTCCAGCCCCATTACAAGGTCTGAGGGACAATGGACCGGCCCCCTGCTGAAAAAGTTTGAGGACCCCTGTGTTAAGATGATTAAGTATCGACAGGGCATGTGTGCAGAGAGCTGTGCAATATCCAGTGTATATATATTTTTCTTTCGATCCCTCAGATTTGCACAAAACCAGGGAAGTGCACAAGCAAACCGCATTAAACATTTCTTGTTTGTGCAGGTTTTTGGTTTTGTGCAAATCTGAAGGATCAATGAGAAAATAAAAAAGTTAAGGAGAGTGCCGGAAATGGCTTAGGAGCACAGTTGGAAAAGAAATGAAAGCTGTGAGGAAGTAGAGGGAGCAGAAAGGGGGGTGGCAGAAAGTGACATTTGATCCACCCATTCCCAAACTCCGGAACAACTCATCTGCAACCCCAAGTGGGAGTGATTTAGAGCCTGATTTCCCCTAATTTATCATATTATCCCTGTACAGTGGTACCTCGGGGTAAGTACTTAATTCGTTCCGGAGGTCCGTACTTAACCTGAAACTGTTCTTAACCTGAAGCACCACTTTAGCTAATGGGGCCTCCTGCTGCTGCCGCGCCGCCGGAGCACGATTTCTGTTCTCATCCTGAAGCAAAGTTCTTAACCTGAAGCACTATTTCCGGGTTAGCGGAGTCTGTAACCTGAAGCGTATGTAACCTGAAGCGTATGTAACCCGAGGTAACACTGTATTGGTAAACTGAATTTATGGGGGCTGGGAAGGAAGCATCAATATTGGTATTGTTTGAGGGGAATCTCATGTGGACCACACAAATGGGAATGCAAACAGGTGCAAACACACATTAAACTCTGGTGTGGACAAGCCCTGCAACTGTTTCTTAATATTTTGCACATAAAGGGAAACATGATATTTACATCGGAGTCTAACATGTATTTGACATTTCTTAAGGGTTCAAGAGATGATGACACAAA